AATATAAGACAGAGCAAAATAATAACATGGTCCTTGATTTAAGTCTAATGAAGCAGACATATCAATAATTTGTACAGATAAATAAAATGTAATGGCCACACAAGCTTCGAAAAAGAGGTACCTGGGTGCTGTGAAAACATATGGGGGGAGGGGTGTTGATCAGGGGAGGGCACAGGTCCTCTGACCACAGGGAACATGACAAACTTCAGAAACTCAAGCAAAGTCGGTATGTCAGCACAGAGAGGCCAGGGGACATGGAGAAGCAGGCAGGGTTCAGATCTTGCCCAGTGCTCTCACGGAGGGGAAGACATTCAGTTTTAGAGGGGGAGGGAAGGGTTTGGGGAGAGAGTAAGCTAATCAGATTTATAGTCTGAAAAAAAATTATCTGGCTTTGAAGGAAGTATGTGTGGCAAGTAGAGGCAGGAAGACTCATTCAAAGACATGAGCAATCACGGCCATTAAAAGACATTTGGACTCAAAGTGTGGGGATGAAGATGAAGAGATCAGACCAAATGAAATGTCATCTCAGATACACGTCTCATCCTATTTCTCTGCTAGTTTAATTTAATCATGGTTCCTGGCCCCCACCAGCTACTGTCATTTGGACTTCATAAGTGTACCTGAACGATTTAAAACAATAATCGATAGCTTATGAATTAAATCCAAGTCCTCTTCAGGCCAATTGTTTTCCATTGCAATCACGTACTGAGGAAGATCTCATTCATTTCCTACTACATCTGCTCACCTAACATCTGTGGCATCAGGGTTTTATTGAGGTTGATCAGACAAATTCTACCAATAATTCAAATGTGACTCCCAGTTGCAGTACAATTGTGAATGTCGGCGTTATCATTACAAACCAGGAATTGTGACGCGTGTCCACTGTCCCTTTCCAATAGAAATGACCCTGCCCCCTCTACCCACTATTACTTGTGCCCTTGAACTTGGTCCTAGGCCAAGTTCAAGATTCCAGATGCTCTGTTGGCATAACCAGACACTGTCCCTCAGCCCACAGGATAAACTGAAATGGGTTCCCAGCGAGAAGGGTCTTTAACGTGGCTCCTAGGCCACTCCTCTGCTAATTTCCACCCCTCAGGGAAATCCTGAATCTGAAGCTACTATGAGCTCCGCTTGCATCTCGGGGGATTGCTAGAAGATTCTACACTTGCACATCAGTATTGCCATGGAGCGGTGGGTGCACAGATGTGAAGCCCCAGGCTCGGGTTTGAGTCTAGACTCCTCTGCCCGAGGGCTGAGGAACTCTGAGCAGGGCCCTAATTCCTCCGGACCTTCATTGCTCATCTGCGAGATGGAAATGGTGGTAACAGGAGCCTGCGCCTTACAGGGCTGCGAGGGCTGCATTAGCCACAGGGATCTGCTGGTTACCAGCAGCCGGTCGGCATCACTGCCATGGATCGAGGTGAACTGTTAAGTCGCTGCACGAATTGGTCATCCTGCATCTGCCTTTGCCTGTAGCAGTTCTGGGGTTAAGATCTATTACTCAAAGTCAGTGCCCAATGGGAGAAACTTTATTTCAGGGTTTAATCTTCTGAAAAACAATTTTTTTCCTCCTGAGATGCCCGTGTATTCCATGCTTTCTAACGTGGTATTACTCGTCAGTTTTCCTTCTCTGCCTTAGCTACCCAGAAGCTCAGAGCATGCTAACCTTACGTGTGGACTCTGGCTGGTTTATTTTCCCTTTTTTACTCATTGCTATTCCTTTTCTTTCCCCCATTTTATATTCATGTTTTGTGTGTATTTGAGGAGCTATCTGAAATTCCTTTTGGGTAAGTAAATGGACACAAAGAAAATCACCAACAAAATCAATTTCCCAAGTGCAGCCTGTGCATTCACGAACAGCGCGTTTGCTCAGCAAGCTGCAAGGCTGGGGCAAGTTATCTCACCTCTGCAGCCTCCCTCCCCGTCGGTACAATGAGCGCCCACAATAGAATCTCCTTTAAAGGGCTGTTGTAAGGAAGGAAGGAATTAACTCATACAAAGCAGCGTACAATAAGGACTCATGCTAGTTCTTGGGGCTGAAATCATTAGAATTATTCCAGGTATCAGACTGGTGGCTTTTCCAGAGAACCAGCTGCTGGGAACACACACACACACACACACACACACGTGTGCGCGCGTGCCCTAATTGCTCTTCTCCAAATGTTTTATACCAAATCTGGAAGCCAACCATTAAATTCTGCCCAGTACATTAATGCAGGGTGTGTGTGGGGGTGGGGG